GAGAATTACAATGTAGAGACCATTGTAAAAATTAAAAGCAGCCCATGTGAATTAACTGCATTTTCTAACTATTCCTTCCTGGTTTGATACCCTGACATAGGAGCAGGACAAAAGAACATTAAGGGAGTTTAGATCTTAACATTCCATGGACTTTCTATTATCTAGACATGCCTCCTGGAATTGGAGAAATGTTTTCTGGGACTGGGGCGCATCATTTTGATTCCATTGCCTTGACAGTTGGGGGGGGGCAGGAATTTTTTTTAGCAAAAAAAGGGGGACCTCCCTCCCTTATATTTTCTAGAGACTGGGCTCTTGATAAAGCAGTTCTTCCATCAGATAGGTTAGCAATATTATTATAATTTGGACTTCAGTTTCTCCATCACATTCTTCCTTATTCTGAGCATTGTGGGCTCAGCATATTAGGAGGACATCAGGTCTAGGAATACTGCCACTTAGAAACAGTAATGATAATCAAAAGTACACTTACACAGTTATATAAATTCAAATTCAAATGCAGGTTTATGAAATCAGAAACCAGTCAGTGCCTAGGTGGGCTGTAGTGCCATGATTTAACCAAGTAAGTGTCAGGATCTTGAAGGTAATAATAGAGAGTGCACATGAAAGTTACGTCATCAGAAAATGTGTTTTTGTTTTTGAACAGGAATGAGTTTAAGCATTTTCAGAAAATGACAATGACAACTAAAGAAGAAGGTAATAGTGGCTAATTTTTCCTGGACTGGGTGATGGCTGCATTGTTCAGAAAGAAACTGGATGAAAAGATCCTCAAATCTGCTTTGAGTGTCCAAGCACATTATTGATCATATCAGAAGCCCACAGGCTGCTGAATGAGAGGGATGTCTATCGTGGAACTACATTCTTGGTTCAGCTGAAACCAGTGGCAAAGCCTTAATAAGCTAGGACAACAATGTGGTATTTATTTTACATAGTAGTGTAATTTGCAGTCTTAACATTTCATATTTTCATCTTAGTAGTTTCTTACGGCAACCCTTCAAAGTATGTTAGCTTAACTCCAAATTACTTCAGTTGAATGATTTATTTAAAATTACCTAGCGAATTAGAGCTAGGCAGAGGAAACACTTAGCTCTTATGTAAGTCTTTCAACTAAGGGCTGCACAACTAAGCGCAATATGTGTCCATTTGCATCTTTATTAATGTTAGATTTATTATCAGTCCATGTGATAATTGGATATTAGAACTGTCAGTCAAACCACAGTCATGCAAGGGATCAGTTCCAGTTTATATTCCAGAGAGAAGGAACAGAAGAGGAGAAAAGGCTGGGAGAGGCAGGTGGAAGGACATGTCTGAGGGGAGCTTGGAGCCCTGGCCCTAGGAAAACCTCCATCTCTTAGGGTTTATGACAGTATTTAATAGTTAATCTGATTTCATGTTTAAATGTTAGCATAGTCGTTGGGCTGTTCTGTCTCTTCCCCCTTTTACAACAAAATAATTTTCAGATCAGGAAAGGGTTTGGTGGCAGCAATAAAAACCAATAGAACCAATAGGAAAGGATCCCCACAACAGATAAAGTACACAACAGTGTGATAACAAAATGAATGAAGAAATATAAAATCCAACAATCAGCCAGGAACCAAACTATAAAATATTATAAACATGGCTATTTTATACAGAGCTTTACATCTTCTTGATACGATACTTGCAGTCCAAATCCTCTAATGCAGTGTTGTCCAAACTTGGCTACTTTAAGATGAGGGGACTTGAAGTCCACTCATCTTAAAGTGGCCAAGTTTGGACAACACTGCTCTAATGCCTTGGTTGTGTGCCAGGCAAATCTCATCACAGAAGGAATGCCGCAGCTGAGAAGGTCCTTTCTTTAATGGGAGCCACCCTTCAGCAGAGGCCATCCAGATTGTATTTTCTTCTCTAGCTGAGCCTCTAGTAATGAGCCACTAATATCAAGTGTTTTACTTCAGAGTTTTGAAAAGGATGACAATACTGCTTGAAACAGGCTTGATAAAAAGAAATAAAATCCCACACTATAACCACTAGGTGTCACTTCATAATCACATTAAATATCTTCTGCATTTTACAGGAAAGCAAAATGTGGTAATAATGGGTAAGAAGACCTGGTTCTCCATCCCTGAGAAACATCGTCCTTTAAAAAACAGAATTAATGTAGTACTCAGCAAGGAACTGAAGTAAGTACCAATTTTTATGTTTTCAGAAGGGATGTATAAAATCAGCTACAATGAGTAAACTGATTGTAGAGAGTGGTGTTAACATGGTAGCACACCAACTTCTAAATAAATATATTTCTTTAACCATCATTTACTTGCTCAGAAATAGATGCAGCCATTCTGTCAAAGAGTTGTTTAGTAGCAATAATTACACCTCATTTTTAATACTGTGACTTACACTTATGGATATTCCATTTTCACGTTTCTTTGATTTTATGAGCAGGTTGCAAATAACTTTAGTTTTTCAGTTACTATCGCTAGTAAATGTAAGTGAATCCTACAGTGTTAATAATGCATATAGATTTTACTAATAGTGGTTTTTAGCTCCTAAAATAATAAATGTATTATTTGATTTTTAAAAATGTTTTGTATAATCTGGGAGAACCCCACACAAATATATCAGCAGGTTCTTTGATGATTTATATATTACTAAGCGACTTGCTATTCCAACATCAAAGTGCCTACTCTTTTGGCTATAACTTCTAAATCTACTGCACCTACCCAGGTGAGGTAATTCAGTTAGGGTTCCTGAAGCAGATATGCGATAGAGATGCATGCAGTTCACAACTACAGATGCAAAAGTAACAGATAAGAAAAAATATTCAGCCTAATTTTAAATAAATAAGTCTGGAATTCAAGTTTAACTAATGTTGACTTTGCTATCATTTTTAGGACTTGATTATATTTAATGTATATTTCCAAGTATTTTGAAGGATTATACTGGCTTATTTAATTTTGCTCTGCTGTTTTAATGCTCTCATCTTTATTGTAATGTTAGATAATTTTATTGCATTAGAACTGAATGCTGCCTGACATTCATGGGTGAGCAGTATTTTAACTAACTTTTGATTATAAACAAAAACTGAGCCATGGAAGCAGAGAGCAGGTGGGGTATTCCAGAAAGTGGGTATGACCTTTCTGCTGGTTTGATTGGGAGAACAAATTTTACATGGATCAGATGCACTTTCAGACACATGATGCCCGTCTTAGAAGCAAAAAAAATAAATAAAAATCTTCCATCAAGCTAAGTTTATTGATAGTTGTTTTTTGATGCTTGGCTGTTATGTGGTTTTATTTTTTTTTTATAGGATGTATTTTATCTATTTTATTGTAAGCTGCCTAGAGTCATGTATGTGAGAGGAATAGTTATATAAATAGAATATATACATAAATAAATTTACCAAAGTAGACCAAAATCCTTCTATGTAACATTGGAAGTAAACATAAGAGATAGCCAGTTCTTCTGTCCCAAGAACAGACTCTGCGTTCAGTAGTCAATTATTTCTAAAAGCTGCTCTTAATATTTCTACTCGTGTCAAAAATTAAGATAATTTGTATCCACAGTTCCCTTATTCTTAAAAAATAGGCAACACTTCCATATGTTCTTAATTTTTATTTGGCTGATTTGAATACCTCTTATTTAAGGACATAAGTGGTGCTCCGCTGGATCGTACTTCTGGCCCAACTAGTCTAGTAGTCTGTTCTCACAGTGGCCATCCAACTGCACAAGGAAGCCTGCTAGCCTCCCAAGAGATGGCCTTCAGAGGCAGTTTTGCTGCTGTCAAGGCTTAGCCATTGATCCCCATGACTTCCATGAATTGGCCCAACTCTTTTTTGAAGCCAGCCTAGCTGGTAGCCAGCATCACATATATTTTAAAATATAGTGAAGAAGGCAGTAGGTAGTCTGAGCAAATAAGCCTTCTTTCAGGGTTGATCCTGTTGGATAGTTGGTGAGGCCCTTGGGTATATATCATATGCTATCTGGGGCAATACGACAAACTTGCAAGGAACAGCTGCCATTGTTTCTGAGAGGTCCCCTACTTCTTTTCTCTGAGAAGTTGCTGTTGTGCATTGAAAGAGATGAAAACAGGAAGCAGCAACTCCTGCCTCTGGTTAGGTAGCCCAGCAGAAAAGTTTTCGTTGGTTGGTTGCTTTGCTCCAAAGAAGCACAGGCACTGCCTTATCCTGCTACCTTTTCTCATTCATAATAGCAGTGAGGACTGGGCTGTCGCAACAATGATATGCTTCCCAAAGGGATATGATTGCCCTATAGGCCTGTGATTGGGCACAGTCCCTGCCTCTGCCCCTACAGCTTCTCTCTTGGAGCAGTCCCATGAAGAAGATAGAGAGCTGAGTTAGGGCCTGGAAACTCTCCCCACATATTGCATCCTGGAATCAGCATTGTCTTTTCCCCCACACCCCCACACAGGAAAAGGGTGGATTTGCTCCCTGGCCATCCCCCACATTTCAAAGCACCATACAGGAGACTTCCAGCCTTATGGCTGTACCATTTTCACTATGTAAAATGGTGACAACAGCATGAGCCTTAAACCCAATATTAACACCCCCAATTGAGAGGATGAGGGACAAATCAGGTACCATGGCAAAACCTTCTTTCTTCTAAGCAACTCCTGTGGGGAAAAGAAAAACAAGGGGGGGAAAGGCTGATGCCCAAACAAAGCACACAATGTACCTTCCTGTTCAGTTGCTCTTAATATCTGGAATATAAAATCTCTTAAGTAAAAAAGTTGAATTATGCTCAGCTGAAGTCAATACATGCAACTGAAAGGAGAGGTTTCCTCCATGGAACATAATGAAGTCTTGAGCCTTGCCCTTATCTTTTCCTGTTAGGTTTATCTTTTGGCGGCCAGAAAGGTACTTCACAGTAAGTCCAACTACCATACTCTGCTACATCTAAGCCCCCAGTGTCCTTGGATTTTAACTGATAACATCTCTATGTTTTAAGGGATGTTCCTGAAGGAGCCCATTACTTGGCTAAAAGTCTGGAAGAAGCCCTAGATCTCCTAGAAACATCAGAGATGGAAAGAAAGGTGGACAAGGTTTGGATAGTTGGAGGAAGTTCAGTATATAAGGTATGGCTTAAACACCTTAAAACTTCTTTAAATAATCTAATATTATTGACTTTGCTTGTGGGAAGCTGGCAGGAAGTTGCAAATCCCGGTCATGTGAGATCCTTGCTTAATGACCCGCGATCCTTGCTTAACGAAACAAAGAGGACTGCTGGGATTGCCGTCGCTAAATGATGCAGTCACGTGACATCATGCCTTATGACCGCATCACATAGCAACAGAAATTCTGGTCCTAATTACATGGTTAAGTAAGGACTACCTGTAGGCTTTCTGAAAAAATTATTGTGAACAGGAGGTATGAAAAATAAATTATTTATGGGTATGCATTATCTATTGGTAACTGAAATGAATACATTTATTTGATGTAGTCCAATTTTCAATAGAGATTTGCTTTTGAAATCTTGAAATCTTTCATTTAATAAAACTGCAGGAAATGGTTAGGAAAACCTTTGCCAGGTTAGCATGCAGTAGAAATTCCTAGTCAAAAGATATTTGTTCAGTTGTAATCTCATCAATTTCTAAAAGTCTAGCTATAAAATGTTATTTGGATTGAAAATACATATTAAAATCAATAACATATTGGCTCATTATAAAAATAACGTTTCAGATCTAGAATACACACAAGAACTTAAAGATCTATTTCAAATATAACTCTCTTTAGACAGTTAAAATTTCTACATGGCCATCAAGACTTTGAAAGAGAAAGTTTAGAATAAAATCTTTGGAAGAATATTCAGGTAAAAATGTGATTAATAATCAACAAGCCCCTATTCATAGAGTTGTTGGTATCTGATACACTGGAAGTAAGTTCTGCTACGACAGCATAAGGCACAGCAATATTATTACAAAATAACAATTCTCAAGTTAGTGGTTATTTTAATTTATATATTTCAGTTTTCCTTTGTATCAAGCAGGAAAATTACTTAAACGGTAAATTGCATCAGAATATCAGGAAAGTGAACATTATTACAAATACAGCTACTCTCTTGTCCAACAGAATTTCATTTGCACGTCATCCACACCAGCATGATAACCACACGATTGATGCATGAGCAGTTTTCTGTATATACATAGTGACCTCCTTACTTACACGTACAATTATTGGTGTGAAATCAAAGCTATGGAAACTGACAGATTCCCAAAACTGTGTCTGTTAGAACAGGCATAATCTCAGTCACAGACCTCTTGAATTGTACAACTGACAAATTATATCAGGAGCTGTGGTCTCCCTGTTTCCTGTCCAACTGTCTCTGGAAAATAAGTTAAAAAGATTGTTGCGCAAAGAATTTTGGATATTGAAGCCCAGAGCCACCCTTAGTAAGGCTGGCACATTGAAATGGATGATAATAATAAACGTACCTTCCAAATTGCCAAGTATTTAAATACAGAAATGCCCAAACCCCAAGAGCAAGATTTGAGCAGCTGGACACAATGGTTAAATATGGAAGATTTAATCAAGTCCCTTATAATGAACGTACTTGTATTTGTGAAGCCCCAGAGATAGAAGACATTACACATATATTATTTGAATGTCAGTTGTATAAGAAAGAGAGAGATCAGTATCATGGACTGCACATCAGACGACTGGTGTATTGGGATCCTTATATTAAAACGTTTCATGTACACCCAGAATCCAAAAATTACATATAATACGGCCCTTTATTTAAACAAAACAGTACAGTTGAGAACTGCATATGTGGATCTGATTGGGGTAAATTGTAGGGGTGACCTGGAAATATGATTTGCATTTTCTTTTAATTCTTTCTTTTATTCTATTTTTAACATATGGTCTACTTACTGTTCTGGGTTTTATATTTTGTACTGTATTTTTGTATGATTGGCCAATCAATAAAGTATTACTGTGTGCAATTATCACATAGTGATCTGTTTACTACACAGAGATATTTTCCATGAAGAAAACACTTGCATAAAGTATATTTGATAGTTTACTCCTGCTGCTGCTGTTTGGTCTTTTTCAAATAACTGCCCGTTTTAAGAGTTGATGATTTTTTTTTTAATGCTCTCTATGTATATTCTGTGGATTTTCTCTGGGGCCTTTTAAACTTTTTCCTTTCCTTGGGATGAAACATGGTTTTATGGCAGTATCATCCAATAAGACAGATAATAGAATGTCTATGCCCTGATTCTTATTCAATTAGAATCAAAGAACAAGGCAACCAGAAGATCCTAGTAAGTACAGATAGTCCTTGTTTAGTGACCATAATTGGAACCGGCAACTCGGTTGTTAAGCGAAGCAATCGATAAGTAAAACTGTGACTGCTTATGATCTTACTTCAGCTTTCCTTTGCTTTACAGACCTGCAAAGGTCATAAATGCAAGGATCGGTCACGTTACTTTTTCATCAGTCATAACTGCGAAAAATTGCTAAACAAGGCAGTCACTAAACAAGGACTACCTGTAGAGCTAGCATATGGCAATATAAAAAGAGAAATATTGGAGTTTTTAATTTTGATTATATCTGTCCTGACCTTTCTTTGGGGGTAGGGGGAGGTTGTACAATGTCTTAAAAAGCTAAGATCAAACTAGATCCTATGTCATTCTGTATCAATAGAAAACTACTGATGATTTTAATAGCAAGTAGAGATATGTTGGAGGCTTTAACCTTTTTTCCATTTCTGTATCCTCAGGAAACGCCTCACAAATGTCATATCAATGGAGGTGGGGGGAGAGACTAATGATAACTTTTTCTATCTGGAGGCTTTTTAAATTTACAGCAGGAGATAGGTTCTTTCTGACCGTGCATGAAAATGTCCATCAGCAACATGAGTTAAGCTGTTGGTGATGAAAACTTAAGGGAACAAAATACTTCTTAAGCATGTTAGTCCTATTTAAAAAATAAATAGTTTCAATGATGGTTATCATTTAGACTTTTCATTCAGTCTGACTTGAAAACTATATAGATCGTACTTACTCCTGCACCATCTGTTTCAGTCAGCTTGTGAAAATATCCATATACTTTATACAGGCTTTACAAATTTTATATGCAGAAAGGCAAAAGGCACTGGTTTAAATGGCCTAGTTCAAATCTGCCAAACAGATTTTTCTGAGCAGAAACTCATGAACAGCTGTCAGTGGCAAATAATTAGTCAAGTCTATTTCATACTCCTAGGGAGAACATCACCTGACTCATTTTGATTAATGCATTGTGTAAAGTGTTACTCATTTGTAAGGAGAACAAGAGATGTGATGTTTAGCTTATCAGTTAGTGAATAATGGGAAATGAAGGGCTTTTGTTACACATGCTCATGAAATACTTTACTCCACATCTAAAAAGCCATTTTTTTAAGTGTTCAAAAGAACATATTTTTCTCTTTGTGTTTAGCATGGCTTTAGACCTTTTCGTGTATTAAGGATTCCATATTTTCATGTAATTAATATAATAAATCTCAAGCACATTACAGATTTGTATTTCATGACAAAATGCTGTACTGCAAACACTACTTTTACTAAGCTTAAGATTAAATAGAACCCTAAAGCCAGAATCTGGAGGGATTATGGGAGAAGTGTTATAAATTTGACCAAAAAGGTAAAAACCTATAGATAATTGATATGTTTTTAAGAAATATGATTGTAATTATTAATTTTACTTAGTACAAAGATGTAGTGTCTGTTTTGTTTTGTTTTGTTTGTATTCATGTACCAACAATATCTGGAGGTAACTTATCACTTATTCATGTAGATTAGCACTGAGAATGCTTTTTTCTTTTTATCCATAAAGATGCTAAAGATTTACTAATAGTTTTTTAGTAATATAATTTATACAAAATTATCAGGAAATATTAAAGAGAGAAACTTAATATATTCTTTTCTTTAACAGCCCTCACTCTGTGGCTTAGGTTTATACATAGTGTGAATCCTTAGTTGTTGAGCAGCAATAGCTGAGTTACATATTGCATTACAACCACTCGAAGTTGTGATGGCGTTGAGTGAGTGGTACTTACAACCGGTCCTCAAAGTTCTGGCTGTCACGCCACTCCCACAGTCATGTGATTGCAATCCAGGCGCTTGGCAACTGGCTCACACTTATGTGATCTCCATTTGCAACCTTCCCTGCCAACTTCCCACAAGCAAAGTCAACAGGGAAGCCGGCAGGGAAGGTTGTAAGTCACTTCTGCTGCTTTTTCTCCCAAGGATCCCTGCTACGGAGTTTGAGATCCCAGGGAGAAAAAGATCCCAGGGATCTCATACTCCTTAGCACATGCTTGCACCACAACCCCCGCACTTGCATGGTGCTGCAGCAACCCCTCCCAAGCCCACACTCACACAGCACCGCAGCAGCCCCTCTCCAGCCTGCATGTACTCTCCACAGCAGCCACCTCTCACCTCACTCCTAGTACTAACCCCCCTTCAGCCTGCTTGTGAGCTGCCCAGGACTTGCAACTTCCAGCCAGCTTCCCTACTGGCTTTTTCTTGTGGAAAGCCAGCAGGAAGTTGCAGGTCGCAGTCATGTGAGATCCTTGCTTAATGATCCACGATTTTAGCTTAATGACAGCAACGGGGACTGCTGGGATTGCAGTCACTAAGCAATGTGGTCATGTAATATCACGCTTTATGACCACATTGCTTAGAGACGGAACTTCCAGTCCTAACTACCGCCATTAAGTGAGGACTACTTGTATGCCAAAACTAAATAAATCAGTTATATATTTACAGTATAGACAAATCCTAACTATAGCTCTGATTAAATAAAGGAGCCCTTTTTCTAAAATATTTTTTTCTAAATTTAAAGCAATTACATTCGATATTCTAATATATAAACAAACATTACCATTATATAAAATGTTTTGTGTGACAGTGCATCCAGCAATAGTTGTAACTTCCCACTACTGGACAAAAAAAGCATGGATCACAGGATTAAAATTTTAGCCATAATGCTGGTGATCTCAGGTTTTTCTTCACCCATCATAGTCGAAGTCGTATTCTGTCTCAAGCTCATTTTCAAGACAAGAAGGTGGAGGAATGGGACATTACAAGAAACCATAGCTATGCTACCTCAAGCATCTACTCTCACGATTCCCAGATAGCACTGTCAATATCCATCCTGGCTAGAGTTACAGAATTTTGTCTCATCAGGTTAGGAAAGGCTGATCTACAGCTAGCAGGCAGCTAGCTATACAACAGCTCTGATAAGCAAATCTGCCACAGTAATTTGGGGGCTATTGCAATGCATAGGCCAAGACTGAGCCAACTTCTTTTCTGAAGAGATCCATGTTCTCTCCCTCCCTCTGGGTGCAGGGGAGGCTACACAGTGAGTATGACTATTGCCAAAGATGAATAATGAAACCATTCTGTCTCTGACACATTTTTTTCTTTCTGACAAACAGAATGCTGTACAAAAGGAACAGAATAAGCCAAGGGATGTCATGAAATAGTCTCAAATTCACTATCCCTGCTCTTAAACAGTAACGGTGCAGCAATATCAGGACTTTGGGTATCTGTATCAGTACAAGTATAATGTATTACAGTATAGGATCAAGCGTTAAAAAATAATATATAGCTTTATATTTTGATATAATCAATACTGACAATCATCTTGATATGTTGATTTGATATTCCTTTGGAAAAACTATGAAGGAAGGAGGCAGGGTAAAGTATGACTCATTGATAGAATCATGACATCTAATATTCTGTATTTTGCCATTTTTAGAAATGTTTATCTAAGATTTTGAAGTTATGTTCTGAAAAAAAGGAGACTTAACATCCAGAAAAGTGTAGCAACTTTTATAGTATGTTGTTAGATTGCAGATTAATTTTTTTGTAAGTTAGGATACATTGTAATCTGTTTCCTTTCTTTTATATATAAGTAGTATAGAGAATGTGAGTAAATATAACCTGCTGTTGTATGTGAACCAAGAATGTAGGATTTATTGCTGTTCTCATTTTTCATCCCTCCTTATTAAGCTGAATGATTATAGCAAGGAATCATTTGGCTCTCCAATAATGGAGTTTTTAATTTAATAGTGCCCCAGTAGAAAATTACCGTATTTTTCTGACTATAAGACGATGCTTTTTTCTAAAATCCTTATGCTAAAAATTGAAGGGCGTCTTATGCAAGGAAGTAAGCC